GATTCTCCTGCCTCAGCCCCAACAAGAGCTGAGATTAGGCATGAGCCACCATGCCCAACTAGGGATTTTGATTAGGATCATGTTGAGTCTATAGGTCAATCTTGGAAGAACTGAGATCTCAACAATATTGAGTCTTCTTGACTCATGAATTTGGAGGAGCTCTCCATTTGTTAGTGTTCTTTAATTTCTCTCGGCAATGTTGTTGTTTTTTTTTTCTTTTTCTTTTTTTTGAGACAGAGTCTTGCTCCATTGCCCAGGCTGAAGTGCAATGGCCCGATCTCGGCTAACTGCAACCTCTGCCTCCCGGGTTCAAGCAATTCTTCTGCCTCAGCCTCCCAAGTAGGTGGAATTACAAGCACCTGCCACCACAACCAGGTAATTTGTTTTGTGTTTTTAGTAGAGATAGGGTTTCGCCATGTTGGCCAGCCTGGTCTCAAACTCCTGACCTCAGGTGATCCACCAACCTCGGCCTCCCAAAGTGCCAGGATTACAGATGTGAGCCACCGTGCCTGGCTGCAATATTTTTTAGTTTTCAGTGCACATCTTGCATATCTTTTGTCAGATTTTTTTCAGTATTTAATATTTTGATGTTACTATAAATGTCATGGCTTTTAGCATTTTAAATTTTGATTATTACTGAGTTTGTTTTAAATCTTTTTTCTATTGAAATATAAACTTTGTAAAGTGCACAAATCTTGTTAAAATTTTCTTTTTTTAAAAAAACTTCTCTTTGGGAAAGCTTTATTGTGAAAAAGACACAAATAAGAGATTTTGTTAGATTCAGTTTGAAATTATCAAGTATAATACACTTAAGGATGGCTTCAATGTTAGACTGGGAAGGTTTTCTCTTTTAAATGAAAGGATCCTTTTCCTAGGAAGATGTTAAGTAACACAGTATAGATGACTATTTTCACTCTTCAATTTGAAGACGAATTATCTTCAATAAATGCCCACTTAATCCAGCATGGTTACTCCTCCCCTTCTTTAAATTACCAAAGCTAAGTACATTGGCATATTTAGTTATGTCATTTGCATATGAAAACATTTTTTTTTTAACTTTTTTTTTGAGAGAAGTCTCACTCTTGTCTCCCAGGCTTAAGTGCAATGGCTCAATCTCAGCTCACTGCAACCTCTGCTTCCTGGGTTCAAATGATTCTTCTGCCTCTGCCTCCCAAGTAGCTGGGATTAAGGCGCCTACCACCATGGCCCCACTAATTTTTGTATTTTTTAGTAGAGACGGAGTTTCACCAAGTTGGCCAGGCTGGTCTCGAACTCCTGACCTCAGGTGATCCGCCCACCTCGGCCTCCCAAAGTGCTGGGATTACAGGCATGTAATCCCGTGCCCGGCCGAAAACATTTTATTAATGACTTCTTAAGCATTTGTCTCTCCTTCCTCCCAAGACTTCAATAAACTGATGCCAAGAATTTATGGAGAAAATTATAAAAACTTTACTGAAAGATAGATATGAGTAACTGAATGAAGCAAGCAATTACGTTCATGGATTGGAAGAGGCAATACAAGGGAAAGATATCATTTCTTCTCAAACGAATCTGCAAAATCAAAGTGAACAATTTGTTGTTGTTGTTGTTAAGAGACTCACACTGTTATGTAGGCTGGAGTGCAGTAACACGGTAAGAGTCTCAACCTCCTGGGCTCAAGTGATCCTCCTGCTTCAGCCTCTCAAGTAGCTGAGGCACGCACAACCATCCTTGGCTAATGCTTTTTAATTTATTTTTTGTAGAGACGAGATCTCACCACCTTGCCTGGGCTGGTCTTGAACTCCTGGGCTCAAGTGATTTTTCTGCCTTGGCTTCCCAAAGTGTTGGGATTATAGGCGTGAGCGTGTACCCAGCCTGCATAAATCTTGTGCATAACTTGATAAAATTTTGTTTGAATACACTGCTGTGATTACCAGCCAGATCAAGATATATAACATTTCCTGCATCCAAGAAGATTTCTTCATGCTCCTTTTCCCCACCCTCCCTGACAACCAGGAGGTTCCCTTATGATACCTCTCATCTAAGTGGAATCAATCATGATGTACTCTGTCTGTTTTTTTTTACCACAACTTAATGTATATAATGTTCATCCATATCGTTGTGTGTAGTAGTCGTTCATTGTTACTCATTGCTATATAATATTTTTTCTCCTATTTAAGGACATTTAGATTATTTCCAGTTTTTGCTACCTTGGGTAATGCTGCAGTGAATATTCTTATACATGATCATAAATAATAAATACTCTTGAGTATATGCCCAGTGGTAGAATTATTGGGTTATGGTCTATGTATAACTAGCTTTAGTAGTGTCTGATATAGTTTGGATATGTGTCCCCACCCAAATCACATGTCAAATTGTAATCCCCAATGTCGGAGGTGGGGCCTGGTGGGAGGTAACTGGATCATAGGGGTGGGTTTCTCATGAATGGTTAAGTACCACCCCCCTTGGTACTGTCCTCGCAACAGTGAATTCTTGTGAGATCTGGTTGTTAAAAAATGTGTACCTCCCCCCACCCTACTTGCTCCTGCCATGTAAGATGGCTGCTTTACCTTTGCCTTCTGCCTTGATTGGAAGCTTCCTGAGGTCTCTGCAAAAGTAGAAGCTGCTATGCTTCTTGTACAGTCCGCAGAACCAAGAGCCAATTAAACATTTTTTCTTTGTAAATTATCTAGTCTCAGGTATTTCTTTATAGCAATGCAAGAACAGACATATAGTACCACAGTTTTCCAAAATGATTAAACTCTCACCAGCAATATATGAAAGATATAGTTGCTGCATATCCTTGTCAATGCTTGGTATTGGAAGTCCTTTTAATTTAAGCCATTCTGGTGGTAGTCTTGGTAACTCATTGATTTCAATGTCCATAATATATACAACTTTTTCTCATGTTGGGCCTATAGGTCAGTCTTGGAATTCACCCTTTCAGAGGCCATACATTTATGTGTATTGGTGCATGGCAGAGGCTGGTGTACACACATTAGTGCAGAGCCATAACTGGAGCATACCTGAGACTAACCCTGTGGTCTAAGAAGAACCTACGTTTGGAGTCCTGGGCTGAGGAATCCAGGAATAGCCAACCCAGAGATTCACTCCTTATCTATGAAGGACATCCACATCCCTGGCCCATATCTTAGGCTGTACAGGAAATCAAGGCCCTTTGTTTTTGGGTTAAATGGAGGTTGCTAGGAGGGTGCTAAGTGAAAATGGTATATACACTACATGCTTTTTACAAATGGTATCAGTTCTCCAGGCCAGCCCACCACTGGACCACCCTCATATGTAAGTCCTGAATAAACCTTGTCTCCTTCACTGGCTCTGCCTCTCTTCTTATAGTGCCATCCCAACTGGAGTCAGTGGGTCCAGAAGAACAATTGGCCATTTAGATAACATCTGAAAATTAACCAGTGTAATTCACAGTAACATTAAAAAATACAAATGAACATTTCAATAAAGGCAGAAAAAGCACTTGATATTCAATGCTTTCCTCCTGATGTTACGACCAAGACAAGGAAGTCCATTATCACTATTTTTACTCAATAGTGGAAATACTAGCCAGCAACAAAAGGCAAAAATAAATACAAATAAAAGGTATAAAGGTTACAGAGAAGTTAAACCATCTTTATTCGTGGATTGCAAGATTTTGATCGCAGAAATTCCGAAAGAATCTACACAGTATTATTACAAGTAACAAGGGAACTTAGCAAGATGCTTGAATATAAGATCAGTATGTAAAAATCAATAGTTTATTCTTACAACAAGCAGAATATTAAAAAGTCAAAATGCCATTTAACATAAATCTAATGAAAGATATGTATCATCTCTATACTGCAATCTATCCAAGCACAGCTGCATTAAAATATAGATATATGGGCAATCTACAAAACATTGCCAGGAGAAATTAAAGACCACTTAAATAAATGGTGGGGTAGAATGATACTCATGGATTGAAGGACTTAATGTTAAGATACTAGTTTTCCCCAAACAGATCTATAGATTCAATGCAAGTCCAGCAAAAATCCCATTTTTTAATTTAACCTAATTCCAAAATTCACCTAGAAATACAAAGGTCGTAGAATGAGCCAAAGCAATCTTGGGAGAATAAGTTACAGGACTTAAAGATTTATTATAAAACTACATTAAGTTAACACAGTTTGGTACTGGTATAAAGTTAGACAAACACTACTCCCTCTCGCTCCTCAATCTGCCCCCATCCCTGGAACATGCTGGCAGCTTTCTCCATCCGATCTGCAAGCGTAAAGAGCGCTGAGGAAGGGCTGACCGACTGGCGTGGGAAACAAAGCGGCACTGAGATAACTTAGGCCACCTTCCTCCCCTCAGTACCTTCGGATGGAAAAGGTTTCCCTTCTTGGTCTGGGAAGCCCACTAAGAAGAAATCCTGGGCTGTGGGGCCGCCCGACGCGTTGCCCCAGGAACCAGAAGGCTTTTTGCCGCTATTAGGGCAGAATGACTTCCGGTGAGTCCCAGCGGTTTAGAATTCCCAGCCCAAAGATCGCGGGAATCCAAGCGTCATCCGGGCCTCTGCTCCCGGAAGCGACAACGCAGCCGCGAATGAGGTAATGGAAGCGAAAGGACTTGGCCACCTGTGGCAGCCATGATAGAAACTAGGGAAAATGGAAGCTCGAAGTAGCTTGCGTTATTAACTGACATACAAACGCCCCTAACCGCCACACGTTCCTGAGGGATGACAGTACGTTACAAAAGTGCTTCTAAACTACTACTGAAAGCTCCGTGGGAGTGCCCGCTGGCGTGGGCGCCGTGGAAGGGAGGGAGAACGTGTACGCCCCAGGGTTCAGTAACCATGGCTGCGAGGGGCGGGGACTGGGAGCGCTGGTCCTGGGCCGGGGTGGGGCTGGGAGGAATCGGTCCTCCACTGTCCCGGCTGGCCCCGCGCCGGCGTGTCGCCTCCCTTTCCGCTAGCAGCACGCTGCGTGGCTGCTCGTTGGCTATTTAGGACGGAAGCTCGGTTGGTGTTTCTCCAGAAGTTTCCCCCTTGGGCGGTAGTGGAGGTGGTAACCGCGATAGTAGCAACTCCGGCGGCAGCAACAGTGACTACGAGGGATGGCGGCGGCTGCAGCAGGAACTGCAACATCCCAGAGGTGCGTGTTTTTCTTTCCCTTTGCTATTTATTTTATCCCCCTTTCCTTGGCTAGTGAGCCGTGCTGAAGTCGTTGTTTTCCTGACAGGTTTTTGCAGAGCTTCTCGGATGCCCTAATCGACGAGGACCCCCAGGCGGCGTTAGAGGTGAGAGAGCCCATTTCTGCTTCCTCCACTCTCTTTAGGGGAACTGGGCCACTTCGGGGCCCGGCTGACTCGCCTTCTCCCAGCACCGCCGGACAGGGACCCAGGCTCTTGTTGATGCTGCGTCTCAGCCCCGGTATTGAGATTCTGGGTCTCCTTTCTCTGTTCCACGGTAGCCGCGTTACCCTAGACTCCTATCTCGCCCTTTCCACTCCCTACAGCTCTTGAGAAAAACCTGTATTTCTTGGGAGCATGGTTGGCATTTGTAGTTGGGTTGAAAGAATTTTTTTTTTTAATGGCATTTATGACTAGAAGAGAAAAGTGGGCTCTGGGCTGGGCTGAAAGGATTTTTGTTTTTTAATGACGTTTGTGACTAGAAAAGTGGACTCTGGGCTCGATGAAGTTAAGTTTTTCGTTTGACAATCATTCTTGCCACTCTTATGTAAAAGTGTCGGTATGAAGTCGGTTTATTGGAGCAAAAACCTTTTCCCTCACGTCCCTGAAACTTTCCAGATGTCTTATCACAGTTCATTATTCACTCATTTGTATATACATCAAAAATTGTTTTTGAGTGGCAGTGTGCAAAGGCGCTGATTGCTATGGGTTAAAGTCTTCGTTATATACTTAGCTAACTTAGAAATCACTTTTTGTAGGTGTGCAGTGAAGACAAACCATAAAGCTGTAAAGGAATGTAAAAGAGCAAGAGTTAAATAATAAGAATTAGAGGAGAACCTAAAGATAAATGATGGTGTGGGTCACAGAATTTAGCCAGGAGTTTGTTTTTTGCGTTACATCACAGAGAAGAGGAAACCTGTTTTGTTGTTATGTTTAACACTTTGAGGCAAGACAGCGTTTTTTCTAGCTATGACTTTTATAAGAAATGTGCCACATGGTACTAGAGCCTCCGTTGAGAAGATCTTTGAGCTGAGATCTGAAGCAACAAGGGATATTACTTGGAAGCTCTGGGGGAAGAGTATTCCAGGCAGGACCAAGAGCCAGTGCAGATCCTGAGGTAGGAATGAAGTTGGGCCTGTATGTGAAGCAACAAAAAGGCTCTTTTTATTAGAGGGCCCATTTGATTAAAAGATAAGGTTGGACAGGAAACTAGGAGCCAGGTCCTATAAGGCCTTTTAGGGTCCAGGTGTTTTTTGTACCTAAATATATAGACCTTTAGATACTGGGAGTAAGGCTTCTGGGATCAGTTTGGGGATAATGTTACAGAAAGCACTGATAATTTTTCTCCATAATTCCTTGTATTAGCTAGACAGCCATTACTTTTAATTTACATTTGTTATTGTTCTGTTAGACCTAGTGCTTCGTTTGGAAATCCGCTTTATATAAAAGTTGCTTTTAAACAATATTAACATAATGAATTTTATTGGCACTTTCCATCTTACTGTACTTTTAAAAATGTTTATGGAGGCATATATGATATGTGTAAATAACACAAATTTTAAATCTATAGTTTGATGAATTTTCACATGTTTACACCACCAGATTAAGATACAGAGTATCTCCATTCATAATGCTCCTTCGTGCTCCTTCTGAGCCAGTAATTCTTCTTATTGTCCTGCTGACTCCTGTTTTGACCTCCATCACCATCAATTAGTTTTGCTTGTTCTTTACTCATAAACAGAATCATACAGTAGGTGCTTTGTTGAATGTAGGCACTCTGTTTTTGCTTTAATCGTTACGTGAGTATACATTCATATTGTGTGAAGCAGTAGTTCTTTTGCGTTGCTGTGTAATATTCCATTGTATAAATATATGTTGTATAGCTGTAAGTACAGCGCAATTTATTCTAACAGTGGAAATCTGGGTTTCTAGTTATTAGCTAGCATAAATAAAGCTTCTGTGAATACTCTTTTACGTGTATTTTGGTGAACACATGCATTTCTTTTGGTTGTATGTACCTAGGAGAAGAATTGCCTAGGATAGTCATGTGGCTAGTATTAGTACCTTGGTTTTTAATGTGTGGCTTTTGGACCAGCAGTAGTAGTATCACCTGGCAATTAATTAGAAGTGCAGCCGGGTGCGGTGGCTCACACCTGTAATCCCAGCATTCTGGGAGGCCGAGGCAGGCGGATCAGGAGGTCAGGAGTTTGAGACCAGCTTAGCCAACATGGTGAAACCCCGTCTCTATTAAAAATACAAAAAATTAGCCGGGCGTGGTGGTGGGCAGCCATAATTAGCTGCCCGCGAGGCTGAGGCAGGAGAATCGCTTGAACCCTGGAGGCAGAGGTAGCAGTGAGCTGAGATCGTGCCATTGCACTCCAGTCCAGGTGACAGTGAGGTCCGGCCATCAAAGGCATTAAATCCCGGCACAGCGTTTTCAGTTTTACATGATCGTGGAGATGTGTCAAGAATTTGGAGAAAGGAAAATGAAATTTTCTGAATTACAAAACCTACTTTAAAAGCAGAATAGATGGTTAATTGGAGGAGGAACAAGGGATAGTGGGTAGCAGGAAGATGGTGGTGCTGACCGGATCGAAGAATAATATCTGCGTGTAGGGTAGTGATTGAGAGCATGAAGGGGAGTTGTTTTATGTAAAATGCACTGGACTTGGTAACAATTGGAATATAAGGGATGTCTCCTGAGATTCTGGCTGGGGGAATGTAGTAGGAACTGGTGCTATTCATTTAGATAGCATTTAGGATGATAGCACTTAGAAGATTGCATTCAGCATTGGGGAACAGGTTTGAGGAGAGAAAGTAGTTTTAGATTGTGAATATTTGTACATGAGTTGCCCCTGGGACATTTCAGGTAGTCTAGAGAAAACTATGTGCTGCTGTTGCTCAGGGGCACTGTCTAGGCTCAAAATAGACTTGAGTCATCAGCATGCATCAACACATATGTGAAGCCCCCCAATAGTTAAGGAATCAAAGAATGTTTGTAGAGGGGAAGAAGCCTTAAGTACTGATCCCAAGGAGAACATTAGTTTTTAAGAGGCAACAGAATGGTAAGCCGAAAGGCCTGGTTGTTATTGTCAAGGGCCGCAGAGAGATCAAGTCAGATAGGAATCAGTTGGATTTGATAAGGGGTTATTAGTGATTTTGAGAAGATTAAGACTAGAGAGGCAAATATTTTTGTATTCTGTGGCAAAGAAGATGAGGTCAAAGCAGAGACCAGGGAAAGGTCTGGAAAAAAATCTGCAAGGAGAAAAATCAATACTTTTCATTGAATGGTTACTGGATGCCACATACAGATCTAGGCAAGCCCAGCACCCTGCAGTCATCTTCAATTTATCTTATCTCACATGTTCACCCATTAGCAAGTCTCGCTGCTTCTAATATGTTCCAACTTACCGTATTTCTCTTCGTCACCTCTGTGGCTAACATGCTTTTCTAACCTAGACTTTAGTAGTTTCCTAAGAAGTCTCCGTTTCCAGTCCTGATTTGATAATGTATTCACCAGACTGCAGCCAGAATGACATTTTAAAAAATAGTAAATTGGACCATGCTCTTACAGTGAACTTTCCATGGCTTTCCATCACACCTAAGGTCCAAATTCCTTATACAGTCTGCAGCCTACAAAGTGAGGCCCTTGAAGTGTAGCAGGTTACAGCTTCTTTGCTTTCTTGGTTTGAGCCACACTTTCTGTTGATTGATTGTAACCCCATGTAATTTGAGGAGCATCTGTACATGTTGCTTTGTGAGAGTCACACTACTAGGTTAAAGCAAAGTCAATGATACATGTGGCTCTTGAAATAATTTTACCATTAAAGAAAACTACCAAATCCCTAGAGTTTGTAGTCAGTTGGCAGAAAATAAAAGTGTTCCTGCACTTGTCCTTGATCTCCCAAGTTGTGTAATCTTTTTGCATCATTGTTTTTCCAGCTACCACACCTATATGTTGTGACTGCATGGGTTGAAAAAGTTTCAGTCTCTAATGTTAACTCTTGATAGTTGACATAGTCATCTATTAGATTGTGTCTGGGCTTTGAACAGAATATTTAGTTGGGTTTTATTAGAGTTGTGTGCTATTGATAGAGGCTAGGAGAGGGCCAGGTAAGCTTGATTGTGTATGTATTGATTGTCTTAACCTCCCTGAGTGCTAGATTTAACTTCTCGTCTTTTTTTTATTGCACAGCTTCACATTTTCTAGAATCTCAAATTCTATGTGGTGTTTGAATCTTCTTCAGATTAGGAGGAGGAAATCTGTAATGGTCAATGTATAACAATTAAACTCTTAAGAATATATGAGGTGATAATAATGATCATTTATTGAATTCTGTAGACCAGGAACTAAATACTTTACGGTACACAGATACTACATTAGATTGTCTACTTTTGGGAGGAGGGGCAAGAGAAGTGGGGGAGATACTGATCCTTTTATAAGGAAAAACTCCAAGGTTATATCCCTGTTAGCTTTCCTCCAAATAGCTTCTGACAATAAGTTACTTGATTAAAAATTATGTTTTAATTAGAATTTGATGGCTTTTTACAAACTTTTACTGACACTCAACATGTTTGTTTTTGTAGGAGCTGACTAAGGCTTTGGAAGAGAAACCAGATGATGCACAGTATTATTGTCAAAGAGCTTATTGTCACATTCTTCTTGGGAATTATTGTGGTAACTTTTCTTACAAAGTATATTGCCCTTTTTAATAAGTTACTTACACATTTTACCCATGACAAATTAAAGGGTGTCTTTGAGAATTTTTAAATTGGTCTTTGATACAAGGTAAAGTAGCTCAAATGTGACAGACACGTTGAGCAACACCCATTTAAATTTTATGGATGTCGCTTTTTCCTTCATTGGGTGGAGAATGTATACAGATTTCATTCATAGTTATTGGGTATGCTGATAAAAAATAGCATCACATTTACTATTTGACAGAGTATTAAAATGAAATGCTTGTTTGTATTTTTTTATAAAAAAGAATGACCAGGCATGGTGGCTCACGCCTGTAATCCCAACACTTTGGGAGGCCAAAGCAGGAGGATCACTTGAGCCCAGGAGTTCAGGACCTGCCTGGGCAACATAACAAGACCACCTATATTTAAAAAGTAATATATTTCTGTGTTTTGTAACTTTAAAAAATTATTCTGATCAAGAATCTGAATAGGGTAAAACCGAATACCTTGAGTAAAATTACGTAGACGATGTTAATGAGACAAGGAGGTGAATTTTGTGACACAGCTATATTCATTGACTGAAGAGCTTTAAGAAGGAAGCTAAATGTTAAGCCAAAAGGAAGATACAAGAGTAATAATTTATTTGAATTCTATCTTGTATTAGCTTTTCCTAATTTAAAACCATTTGGCATTTCTACCAACTTGAAAACTTAGAAATCTAAAACTGATTTATATGTTATATGTATTTGCTAGGATCTGTAAATAACTGACTAAAACCCATCTTTTTCTACATAGTTGCTGTTGCTGATGCAAAGAAGTCTCTCATACTCAATCCAAATAATTCCACTGCTCTGTTGAGAAAAGGGTATGCAATAGCTACTCTTCTTGTTGAGCTTAGTATAGATAGTAGGTGTTTAATTTGTTGAATGAGTTCATTGCAAGCTTTATATAAGTTGTAAAATTCTGTATTTATACGTTATATAGCAGAGATATGATTCAATTTTAAATACAACTTATGGTTCTATTATTTTGTTAACCATAATACATAATATGAGATCTATACTTAATAAATTTTAAAAGTGATGATTGAAGTAATTGAAAGGTATAGATGAAGCTGATAGATTTCACATTCCTTTTTTTTTTTTTTTTTTTTTAATCATTTGGAATTTACTGTATTTAATTGACTGGACAGCATCCTATTCTGCCAAGCCAAATAGGCGACATTTAATGCTGTGAAAGCTCTATATCTGTGTACTTTATGTCCCATCTTGTTTCTGTTGATAAGTATAACTATTCTTTAAGAAACTTCTTTAATTCCTTTGTATAATTATATTTTGGAGTAAGCAAGTTTGTATAATTAAAGTCAGATTCTTTCTGAAGTGAGTTCCAAAACTGAATTTTACTAGGAATTGTACTAGATGTTAAGAGTATATTAGAAAGTCTCTTGGTTTATTAACATATATTTAAAATAAATTTTTTATTTCAACAGTAGAAAATACTAAGTTTCTTTATTTAGAAAGAAGGCTATTTTCCAGATTTTTTGTGTGTCTTAATTTGTTTTAAATACATTCATGCAGAATATGTGAATACCATGAAAAAAACTATGCTGCTGCCCTAGAAACTTTTACAGAAGGACAAAAGTTAGATAGTAAGTATTAAAAATTATACTTTAATAAACTTATCTATTTCTGTCTTAAATACCAAAGCTGAATTTTGGTAATGTTAATTTCAGGTTAATTGTAGAAACCCAATACCTGTTTTTCTCATCTTAATTACATTTCATATTAATTGCAGATATGAGATCACTTAAAACTGATTAAATTAGCCTTTTGGCATTTAAATCACAGATGAACTTTACCATTAGAAGTAAAAAACTCTATGGAAACACTTATGCTGTCTCTACTTAGTCTGGCTTTTTTTTTTCTAATGGAGAAGTGAAAGTTTAATTTGCCTTCTTGGTCAGAAGTCTGTTCATTTTACGTTATTCAGATTGCTGAGATGTGAAATCTTAACATTAAAGGTTTTTATGGAGAAGTGAAGTGTATATTTGAATAAATTATGAGAGGGTACAGAAGAAACACAGTTTTGAGAGTATTGTGACTTTTAATGTTACATTTTTGAGGGAAATGTATGAAAAGTATCACAGTGGTAGGGATATCTGGACATACAGAAATTGTGAGAGCCAAGAATTTTTAAATCTGAAAAATACTAAGAGATTGTGAGTAATCTCAGAAAATTGGAAACTACATAATCCTACTTGTACTATCATTTTATCTTTATGTTATGATAGAGTTTTATCACATTTCTCTTAAAGAAGGGGTTCTTAACTGGAAACAATTTTGTTTCCCGGGAAACTCTGCAGTGTCTGAAGAGATTTTTGATGATCATGAATGGTGGAGGGGGATGTACTACTGACATCTAATGAGTGTAAACCAGGGGTGCTACTAAATATCCTATAATGCCCAGGACAGTTCTACCTAACAAAGAAGTATCTGGTCCAAAATGTCGGTAGTGCTGAAAATAAGAAACTTCACTCTTAGTATTTTATGTTACATTCTTACTCTACTGTTTTGAATGTTTGCTTTTCTGTTGTGTACCTATTCAGAAAAAAGGATTTTAGCACTGATTATGCAAATGGAAGCTACAGATTAAAAAAGGAGAGGTCTGGGTGGTAAGGCTTATTCTCAAACTTGCTTATCTCAGTTTTGGTACGTGAATAATTAGGGCTATTCAGTCAGCAAACAGGGCATCTGCACTCTTAGCAAATTCTAGAGTCAAGTTATGTAGTGCTTTGATACTTAGCAAATTCTAGAGTCAAATTATGTAGTGCCTTGATACATATGTGAAAATCCTGAAGAAACATGAGTCATACCATTCTCTACATTTTCATTTTTCTTTCTTGTTTTAGCGAGCGAGGGTCTCGTTCTGTCGCCCAGGCTGGAGTGCAATGATGCGATCTCGGGTCATTGCACCCTCCACCTCCTGGGCTCAAGTGATTCTCCCACCTCAGCCTCCTGAGTAAGTGGGGCTACAGGCACATGCCACCACACCTGACTTATTTTTGCATTTTATTTTTTTCAGAGATGGGGTTTCGCCACGTTGCCCAGGCTGGTCTTGAACTCCTGGACTCAAGTGTTCTGTCTGCCTTGGCCTCCGAAAGTGCTGGGATTACAGGCACCAGCCACTGTGTCTGGCCCCTGAATTCTTTTCTTAAGATCTTAATATCATGCCATTGACATTTATTTTTTAGTTATTTCAGAGGTGGCCTTCAGAAGAGGACCTGTTTGGTAAAATTGCTATTGAGGATATTTCACTTAAAAATAAATTTGTCTTTAAATCCAGAAGACTTTTTTTGTTGTTTTTTGGGGTTTTTTTGTTTGTTTGTTTGTTTTTTGTTTCTTTTTTTGGAACGCAGTCTCACTCTGTCATCCAGGCCATAGTGCAGTAGTGTGATCTTGGCTCACTGCAACCTCTGCCTCCAGAGTTCAGGTGATTTTCCTGCCTCAGCCTCCTGAGCAGCTGGGACTACAGGCATGCACCACCATGCCTGGCTAATTTTTGTATTTTTAATAGAGATGGGGTTTCGTCGTGTTGGCCAAGCTGGTCTCAAACTCCTGACCTCAAGTGATCCACCTGCATTGACCTCCCAAAGTGCTGGGGTTACAGCTATGAGCCACCATGCCCGGCCAAAATCTGGGAAAAAGTTAAGTTAAGCTTTTAGGCTTCTATTTTTATCAGACAGGGTAAAGAATTTTTACCTTTTCCCCTCTTTGTGTGATAAATTGGTTGGTTTTAGTTACTGATTATTTAAAATAATAGGTTACTCAAATCTAAGATTTTGATATAATAGTTCTCTGGAATACAGTGTGTGTGAGAGAGTGTATTTAGAATTTTTATTAAGGCTGGTATAGTTGAATTTCTTTTATATATTAGTAAAGTAGAAATTTTTGTTAAGAAATTTCTAACTTAAAATTTTCAAATTAATCTTCCCTGAAGTTAACTTGAATTAATAAGCTTTTCTTTAGAGTACTTTTAATATTTTTAACATATCTTACTATGTACAGTGACTGTTTAAATGTAATCATTGTTCTGTGTCTCCAGAAATGAATAATTTGTTTATGCATTCATTTACACTGTTATCTGTAAATATATAATACATCACCTATAGCCCCTCGACTGCCGTGTAACTTGGAGATATGACAAACTTCACAGAATTTAAGGATACTTAGTGTTGGTAGGAAGGGCATGGTAACAGATAAAGCCACTGAGAGAATAGTGGACTGAATAGGTATCTGCATTGAAGAGCAAGCTGGGGCTGGGAGGGCCTTTTGGACCTCAACTCAGCTCCCAGTTACCAAGCCTCCTCCCCACCCTAACTGATGGCATATTGAGAGTTTGATTTACATCTGATTTTGTTGTGTGTGTGAGGAAACTTCTTTAAGAGCAGCGAGATTGGGAGAAATGTAGATTATTTTTATCTGTGAAATTAATAAGGTTGACTGTAGTTAAAATTTTTTAAAAATCAAAATGTTACATGATGAACAACTAAATGTTAAACTATTGGTATATTCATAACTATAGAAGGGTTGGCAATAAGGTCTGTTAAGACAGATTTTGTTCACTACTGACTCCCCAGTGCCTAGAACAGTGCCTGGGATGTAGTAGGTATTCAGTAAGTATTTGTTGATTAATAGGTTGTGCAGATGAGTGATGTTATAGTCAGTTTTTTCTTTCTAGGTGCAGATGCTAATTTCAGTGTCTGGATTAAAAGGTGTCAAGAAGCTCAGAATGGTATGTGGGTCTCCCTTGGTATTTAGTTTAAAAAGAAATAAACATCTGAATTTTTTTCGGTTTAAACAAATTTGTTTTTACCTTTATAATTTCTTTTAAATAGTATATGTTTCCTTAGATGTGGACTTCCAAAGATACACTGGTTTTTGCATAGCTTCTTATGTTGAATGGGAGATTAGGGTGGATTTGTTTGTGTGGTGTATCAGTAAGAAATTACAAGGAGTCTAAGATGAGTTCAGAATGCAAAATGAAACCACTTTCTTTTGGTTAGTTTTCTTTAGTTGAAAAGTATGTAGAATTTGCTTGCTTAATCAGTATGTTTGTGCTATAGGAATCATATAAATAACTTTGCTTATAAATGCACTGTTACCTGAAAATGTTTCCTTTTTATGTTTTAATAGGCTCAGAATCTGAGGTGGTAAGTCCACAGTTTTCATTCTTCGTGATTTTATTATTTTAAATTTCAAATACCAAATATATTTGAGACAAGACTCAGGATGAGCTGTCTGATAATTAAATATTGAGTAATTTCGTTTAAGTGCTGGTTCCTCTAGGAACTGAAATAAAATCATTTTTTGATGAATATAGAAGTTTCCAGTCATGAAAATTATTGGCCTATTTTAATGAATTTAGTGTGTGGTTAAAGTTGATTTCGTGTGTTTTAGTATGGTCAGGATGATTATTTATCTTTTTGTTGCTAAAACCTTATTGCATTTATTTAGGTTAAACAGTTTGAATCACTTGAAGGGCTTTTTGTGATAGTCTAAGACAAAAGTTAAAGAAAATTGGAAATTGACAGGGTCTTGCCCTGTCATGCTGGCTGGAGTGCAGTGGTGCCATCATAGTGCACTTGAGCTTCAAACTCCTGGGCTCAAGCAGTCTTCCCACCTCAGCCTCCCAAGTAGCTGGGACTACAGGTGTACACCACCAAACCTGGCTAATATACTCTGTTTCTTTAAAACAATGTTGTTTTAGTTTAGGGAGTTGCTCAATCTTAGAACTGGCCATTTTATATAAGCAACCTTTTCTAATCATGCCTTTAGAAGTTTTCTGTTACTTAAAGCTCTGTTGTTTTAGAGGAAAAATCTTTTATGAAATTGAAACTAAGATTTTTTTAAGTGCTGAACATTCTAATTTTTTTTGAAAACTAGTCGTATTTAACAATTACAATTACCATACTTTGAATAAAATTTTCATGTAGTTATTTTGTATCAAAATAACTGCAGTGTTGGATAAATTAATATGTGCATTTTAATATACAGTTGCTAAACTGACTTGTAAAAATCTTTCTCTTTCAACTTGCCGAAATCAATCTGCATCCCAGTGGACTCACCAGTCAAAAATCAAGTAAGTGTTTCTTTTTCATAAAACAATGCATGATAGATATTCCTAAAGAAGAAGAAACCCTGTAGTTTAATAGTAAGTAAATTCTTACCATGTGATTTTTAAGTTTTTGTTTTCTAAGATTGTGGTAATAGCTTTATGTAAAGCTAATTTTAAGGCTGTTTAAGAATTAATATTTATACTTAAGTTAAATTCAAATCATTTCTCATCTTTAAAGTTGCTTCACTTGATTTCATACTATGTTACCTTTGCATATGTTAAGGAGCGTCTCTTCCAGTTAAGTTTATGGTACTACACAGATAAACAAGTTAGTAGTAGACCTAACGGAATTGTAACTTACCCTGCCTTTTGTATTTGGAGCAAATTTTTATAGGAACATTCTCTATGAGTTGAAAGTTAATTGCTGAGGGCAGCAATTATAATAATGAATAAGCAACTAGCAAGTTTCTGACTTTTAATTATTCATTAGCCTGTGTACAGCTTGTATTCTTAGGACTGTAACAGAAACAAGCCATTGCTCTGGAGCTTTGCATCCTTACTGAATTGCAAAGGGAAACTGAGACTCTTAAAGTTAATTTCTTTAATCAAGTTGGTTTTGGATATAATTACCTAAAATGGCCTGGAAATGTTAAAAACAATCTATTCATGGTGATTGTGGGGAGATACAGGATAAAACTCCAAGTACCTAGTAGATGAGGAACTTTGACTTGCCCTGGCGGCAGCAGCAGGGGTAGGGCACATAACCATGAAATAATAAGGTGTTCAGAGCATAAAATAATCCAACATCTGACTTAATTTACGTGTACCAGACACTGTGCTTTGTCCTAGGAATGTAATAGTGACAGGATTAACAGTTTTGCCCTCAGGGAATTTTTAATCTAGTCTAATTTGAAAGTGAGAATTCCCTATTTTTGTACTGAAACTCTGTTTTTAGAGTTTCAAACTCTTCACATTTTTAGAGTATCACTCAAAAGATGTAGATAGTAGTGTAATTTAGTAGGAAAAAACTCTTAGAGTTTCAGTACAAAAGGTGCACATAATTAGAATCTAGACCCATTAGTCTTCCCATGTATCTTGAAATTGAAGGAAAGTGTTGTATATGGTGTTGTGCCTGACATAGTTAAACTTTATATGATTTTAATTTTAGCTCATTTGCCCCTGTTTCCTGTGCTAAAGTCTATCAGCTTCCAACTTCAGTTATGAGAGCTTGGAGTGTTGACTCAGGCTTATTGCTTCACCTTTCTGAGTTTAAGTTTTATCATCTGTAAAATAGGGATTTAAGTGATTATCTTTAGTATTTGGATGACATGAGTGTAAAAACTCTGTTAATGACATGTAAATATTAGCTGTTTAAAATAAATGGCATCTTTAATATTTATATTAGTTTAAGCACAACAGTGTTGGAGATGAGTCAGAACCCAGAAAATCATGCAAGTATTTAAGTCTGCTGGAAAGGTGTGAGCATCATCTACCTTACCATTTTTTTCCTTTAGTACAGAGCATAAAAAACTAGTTAAGTAAAGTTGTTTCTGTGAATCAATAGCTGCTTTGCTGTTTTCTTCCTCCAGGTGGAGCTCTTGTTGTTTATCAGACTAGTTTTTGTTTTGACAATAGCTTTAAGAAAATTAGAAGTGTTATTTAAGTTTCTTTTTTTTTTTAATAGGTATGACTGGTATCAAACCGAATCTCAAGTAGTTATTACACTTATGATCAAGAATGTTCAGAAGAATGATGTAAATGTGGAATTTTCAGAAAAAGAGGTCAGTAGACTTTGAATGATTTTTCAATGTTAATTACTATTATTTGTAAATTTAGTATATTGCAGAATAATCTATAACACTTTATCAGATAAATGTCATTTCTTCCTGAGATGATGTGGAAAACGCTGAGTAAAATCTGAAGCCATTGCTTTGAGATAAGAATATGTATGTTGGTAAGTTATAGCTGGATGTGCTTTTTTTCCCTTCAGATTTGAAATTTAGAGCAGAATTTTGTTACATTAGTAAGATAATGTGATTTGTTTATACTTTTGTGGTGTACTTCATGAAAAAGATCTAGTTTTGTGATCACACATGTCTTAGAATTGACTAACCATGTTAAATGAGTGTGACTTTTTTTTTTGTTTTTTGAGACAGAGTGTCCCTCTTGCCCAGGCTGGAGTGCAGTGTCGCGATTTAGACTCACTGCAACCTCCTCCTCCTGGGTTCAAGCAATTCTTCTGCCTCAGCCTCCTGAGTAGTTGGGACTACAGGCCCATCCCACTGTGCCTGGCGAATTTTTGTAGCAATGGAGTTTTGCCGTGTTGGCCAGGCTGTTGTTGAACTCCTAACCTCAAGTGATCCACCCACCTCAGCCTCCCAAAGTGCTGGGATTAGAGGCATGAATCACTGTGCCCAGCCTCTTGAGTATGACTTTTAACAACTTGATTTCTTAGCATTTAGTAGAGAACCTTTTAATAGATAATTTCGAAGAGATAGTGATAGAGCTGTATGTTTTGCAGATGAATTACTTTTTGTTATATATCATTTTGCTTTTGTATGTTTTCTTGAGATTTAAATGTCAAATAGGTGTCATTATATGACAAATATTATGAAACTTACTCTTTTCTGCTGTTTAATGATATATATAAGAATTCATGTCAAGGATAACAGATGGAAAAAAAAAAAGGTTCTTAAATCTTTCAGAACCTTTTGAGGTTCTTAAATCTAAAATCCCATATGTAATGTTTAAAATAATTTGTAACATTGAAGATTTATAATTATTTTGTCTAGGTTTTTTACCCTCCATTATATACATTTGCAAAATGTGATGGTAATTTTGTGTTCATTAGTTGTCTGCTTTGGTTAAACTTCCTTCTGGAGAGGATTACAATTTGAAACTGGAACTTCTTCATCCTATAATACCAGAACAGAGCACGTTTAAAGTACTTTCAACAAAGGTAAGACAATTGAAAAGGTTTGTTGCTAGTAATATTTTCAGAATTATAGAAATACTGGTGAACTGATCACCGATGTGTTTATGAGCTTGTAGATTCTTTCAGCCCTTTATATTTACAAGGGACAGGGAAAAGAAGAATTGATAACTTTTGAGTGTAAGGGTTATTTTACCTCTCAAATTCTAGTACAGTAAAGTGTAAAAATCCACTTAGCTTGTGTGGTGTTTGTGCACTTATTAAAACAGATATAATGTTTTTCAATAAAGAGATTTTTTTAAAAGATACAATAATGAGCCTATCTTTTAAGATTGGATACTGGCCGGGCGCGGTGGCTCAAGCCTGTAATCCCAGCACTTTGGGAGGCCGAGACGGGCGGATCACGAGGTCAGGAGATCAAGACCATCCGGGCTAACACGGTGAAACCCCGTCTCTACTAAAAATACAAAGAATTAGCCGGGCGTGGTGGCGGGCGCCTGTAGTCCCAGCTACTCGGGAGGCTGAGGCAGGAGAATGGTGTAAACCCGGGAGGCAGAGCTTGCAGTGAGCTGAGATCCGGCCACTGTACTCCAGCCTGGGTGACAGAGCGAGACTCCGTCTCAAAAAAAAAAAAAAGATTGGATACTGACAGTGTCTCTTCTCTTGAACTTGTCAGTTTTGTTTGTTTTGATGTACACATACTTTTCTCACCCTACCTCATGCAGTTAAAAATACAAACTACTATAAAGATGAATCCTCCTTTTTTTTTTTTTTTTTGAGATAGAGTCTTCTTCTGTCGCCCAGGCTGAAGTGCAGTGGCACTGTCTCGGCTCACTGCAACCTCTGCCTCCTGGATTCAAGCAGTTCTCCTGCTTTAGCCTCCCAAGTAGCTGGGACTACAGGCATGTGCCACCACACCCTGCTAAATTTTTGTATTTTTAGTGGAGATGGGGTTTCACCATGTTGGCCAGGCTGGTCTGCAGGTCCTGACCTTGTCCTTTTTTTTTTTTTTTTTTTTTTTTTTTTTTTTTAATTAAAATGAATTTTACGTTACTTTGTAATGAGGGAACAATGAATAAATTATAGTTTGAGTAGTTTTTAGATTCCTTTATAGTTTCTAAAAGAAGTAGAGATATACAATAGAATTAATGTTCAGAGAGTATCACTCAAAAGATGTAGATAGTAGTGTAATTTAGTAGGAAAAATACTGAATTGAAAATTTAAAAATCTGACTCTGGATCTTTGCTTGCCCTGTGAATTTAGTCTAGGCACAAAATGACTATAAGACTGAATTTTCAGCACCTTTGAAGGAGGGCTGTGGACCAAATGAACTCTGGAGTCCTTTCAGCTGTAGAATTGTGTGAAGGTATATGATAAATGAGTTAATGGGAATAAATGATATAGGTAGGCTTTTTCCATTACTTTTTTTTTTTTTGAGATGGAGTCTAGCTGTGTCACCAGGCTGAAGTACAGTGGTGTGATCTCGGCTCACTGCAACCTCCGCCTCCTTGAATCGGGTTCAAGTGATTCTCCTGCCTCAGCCTCCTGAGTAGCTGGGATTATAGTCACGTACTGCCACACTCAGCTAATTTTTGTATTTTTAGTAGAGACGGGATTTCACTATGTTGGCCAGGATAGTCTTGATCTCCTGACCTCGTGATCCGCCCACCTTGGCCTCCCGAACTGCTGGGATTACAGATGTGAGCCACTGCACCTGGCCTACTACTTTTTTATACACAAGTCCTGCAGCATACTGTGCTACTATTTATTAGGTTGAAGCTCTAAGGACATGTGAAGCTTCCTGTTGTGGAACAGGATCGGGGCTGGCCTGTGTCGTGAAGAATGATATTTGGGCTTGCAAAAAGGAGACAGCTGCAGAGTGTTGGAGAAGGAAGTGCAAAGTGAAGTAGTTTTTGCATCTAGTTAAAAAGGATCTGCCTATTTATTTGAAGATTGTCAAGAACAAAGCTGGTTAATTATGAGGCAGATTTTTGAAATAGCTGCTGGGGACAGTAGAAATTGAGGAAAGGGACAAAATCTTACCAGGATTTTGGTCTGTCACTGGTCCTATCCACATAGTATAGAATTTGTTTAATAAAAGAATTATTTTGAGTAATCAAGCACAAAATAGGTAGATTTGAGAGGGATATAGTTCAGAAAATTATGAATTTGACTTTTTTTGATATGTCTATCGAGATTGCTAATGCAAGTGAGCCGAAATCACGCCACTGAACTCCAGCCTGGGCAACAGTGAGAGAGACTCTGTCTCAAAAAAAAAAAAAAAAAAAAGTTAGTGCATGTCCATTTGGAGTTATTTAAATCGAGTGTGAATAAATGATAAATGACTTAAGAACTTATATTACTGAGCCACCTCCTATGGTGGAAGAATATCATGTGTGGCAAATACACAGATGTGTGGCAAGAGTCGAGGATAATTAAGCATTCTTACCTCTTTTTTCTCTTTTGAGTCTTGGATTTGTTAATTTTAACCATTCTTCAACCATACTACTGTGTTCTCAGTTTGCCTCTTCTGCCCCTTTCCTCTTTAAATACTAAGTGACTGCTTTTCTTTCTTGTATAGTAGTTTATGTATACATTTCATGTCCCTCATTTCTATGCAAGTCCTTGAGGATAAGAAGCATGTTTTATTTGTATCTTTGTACGTGCCCCAGTTAGGATCCCCAGATAAAGTACAAGATGCTCACTTAAGTTTGTATTTCAGATAAACAATGAATATTTTATGTAAGTATGTTTCATGCTATATTTTTATTTGTCAAACTTGGCAGCCCTCACCACATACATTGTACAGTGGGTGCTTAGTTCAGTGAATGAATTAAAATTGGATTTTGGTTTTAGTCCCATGACATTGGCAGAGTATTTTTATTCTTAGTTTTGCAGGTGGAAAAAAAATCTGAGGTTAATGGACTTTAAATACTTTCCCCAAGTTTACCTGGTTAAGTAAATTGTCTGGCCTGACCCAGGAGACATAGATACACTTCTGACTGCCAACCAAACTAGTGCATCTTTGCTTAGGTTTTTCTAAGTTTTGAATTGGAGAACTTAGATTCTAAGCATATGTTCTAAAGAATTATTATTTTTCTTGTCCTGACCCTGGAATCTCCATATTTTATATATCATATATGTGTGTGTGTGTGTGTGTACACACATAATCTTGTTAGATTACTCTTAAGCTATTTGGGGGGAAGCAAATTGAAAAAAGTTTTCTTAATTATGTCTTGGGGAAATAATTGATAAAATCTTTGAATTTCCTTTTTCATACAGTAGAGGAAGATAATATTAAAATACTGAAAGTAAAATCTCTGGGTTACTGAGGCTTACTTCGTGGACACTTAAGAGACAGCAGTACTAAAATAATTTGGTTTTCATGTATTCAGATATCTTGATTGTTCTAATGTCTTGGACCTTTGTGAATTGAGAAAGGATGCATTTTGCAGAGGAGAATCTGCTTAATAGTAGAGATTCTGTAAAATTTGCAGCTTAAAAGGGCGATTTCTTTGCTTTTGGGAATTCTCTTTTCTTTCCCACCTTCAAGATTGAATGTTGCATATCCATGTATAACCAGTGGTGGCTAAATATTACTAATTTGAGTGATACGTAATTAGTGATGAAAGTAGTAAGAGGTAAAACCCTGAAATTAATGAAATAGCATTTCTCAACTATTTTACAATATAGTATCCAATATGTTTTTCCAAGCCAGGATTCATATTTTTTCAGTATCTCTGATAGTTATTGCTACTTTTTACTGAATATCAGCTTTAATGTCAGCCTATTAATTTTTTAGAAATTAAGAAACTATATGTCTTTCATTTCATCTTGTTGATTTCATGACAATATTCTCTGGTCACAATCTTAGAATTGTGACTTTAGTGGCACCCATATTGTGAAACATGCATTTTAAAAATTAATTTTCCTTCACTTTAAGATTTAGGATTTGCAAGTTGGGCAAGGTGGATCATGCCTGTGATACCAACACTTTGGTAGGCCAAGGCGGGTGGATCAGTTGAGGTCAGGAGTTCGAGAATAGCCTGGTGAACATGGTGAAACCCTGTCTCTACTAAAAATACAAAAAATGAGCTGGGCGTGGTGGCAGGTGCCTGTAGTCCCAACTACTCGGGAGACAGAGGCAGGAGAGTCACTTGAGTCTGGGAGATGGAGGTTACAGTGAGCCGAGATCATGCTGTGCCACTGCACTCCAGCCTGGGTGACAGAATGAGACTCTGTCTCCAAAAGAAAAGAAAGAATTAGAATTCTCAGTCTTTTGGGGTGAATTTGTCCTTGTGAAAATGTTCTTGTGTTCTTATTTTTAGTCACAGTAATGTATACAATATAAAATATGAAGGCCTGGAATTGTGAGAAATAAAAATGTGTATCTTAGAAACAAAATAGCCTCCTTTTTCTTCTCCCACTAAAATTTGAGAAGTGAATCCTATTTCTTAATGTTCATAGAAGAATGTATGTATGTTAAAGAAAAGTCCTGGTAATAATGTAATGGAATGGGGTATTTGGGCGTGATGCTTCTGCTGGTCTGAATACATAAATATGGGAGTTTTAAAAATTATTGTTTTGTTTTGCTTTTTTAATACAGTGGTGGTGATAATAGTGAGATTTGATTTTTTTTTAACTGAATTAGTTTAAAAAGATCACCAATTGTAGATCTTGGAATGTATTCTTTTTGTATATTTTGTAATGTATATTCATACATTTTTAAAAGAAGAATTTACTCTACATAATTTTCAAACAGCTACACTTTGTTGATATTTTTATCACATCCTTACATATTCAACAGCAAAGCATTTCGGCATATGCATATACTGTAGCTTATTTAGTCAGTCCCATTTTGTTTGACCTGTGGAGAATTAGAATAGGTGTTTTGACTGTTTTATCACGTCAGGCACTGTATTGTGTATTATCTCATGTAGTTCTCATAGTTACTGCATGGTGTAGGTATTTTTATCTCCAGTTTACAGGTAGAGAAACTTAACCCAGAGATGTTCAATAATTTGCCCAGGTTTTTTAACCGATTATACTGATCAGGATATTGATAATATCAGTCTGTTGTTATTTGCCAGACACGGTTCTTTAGTCTTTTCATACATAATGTCATTTAATCTTCTTGAGAACCCTAAATGAGTCAGGGCCTGCTGTTCTCATTTTATAGGAGAAACTGAGGCTCCCTGAGATTGAGTTGCTTGCTTGTGATCATACATCCAACCAGTGGCACCTATTTGTGACTCTTCTAATTATACAACTGATTGTTTTTGTCTTATTCTCAACCCCTGCTTGTTTCTGAGGAAATAAGTAAAAATCCTAGCTGAAAAAGGCACTTACAGCAAATTATTTCATATCTTGGCTCCTTCATCTCTAAAATATGGATAACAATCTTTTTTTTGTAGGGTGATTCCATTAAGTAAGATGATATATGTGAAGCATGTGGCATACAGGATATGTAATAAGAACTCAATAAATGTTACTAGTACCTTTCTTACTGTTTTATTTTAGTTATTTCGATTTTTATTCAGGCTGTAAACTCAGCAAATGCGTATCATAGAAAATCTGGAAAAGATAAAGGAGTTTAGGAAGTAATCACTCAGACTCACCACTCAGATGAAATTCTAGCATGTTTCCTTTCAGATAACTCGGTATTTCCTGATACATAGGTCAGTCACTACACCTGACACATACTGGAATCTTTTTGTTTATGGGAATGTCTCTCCTGATTGATTAATTTAAGAACAGAGGCTGTGTCCTTATGTACCAGCACTGTTTCTGGCACAGAGTCGTTACTCAGCAAATATTTGAAATGAGCTGTTAGAAGTTTGGAGAAGATCTTTCAGTCTTCTCCATTCATTGCCATTTTTTTGCATTTAAGAAATGATAATAGAAATATTTTAGTGTAAAATCAAGGTAGATGTATTAGTCTGGGTTCAAAGACTGAGCTATTATCAGACAAAGGAATTTGATGTAGCAATTAAACGTGCAAACAGCTCAGTAAGAGTATGTTGGGAAGACTGTATTCTGAAGATTAGAGGAACAATTATTTAATGAGTACAGTCTTGAAGTGTATGGGTCTCAAAAGTTTGCCAATAAATTGGCCCAGCTCTTTAGTCTCTGGGAAAGATCCCTTCATGTCAGTCTGTAGTGGTAGGTGGGATCTGACTTACCACTTAAGATGGTGGTGTCAGGATATCATGACTGCTTAAGCGTAATGACATCTCTTTAAATCTGAAATTTCTTTCATTGGAAAGAATTAAACTGCTATGCAGAGGAGACTTTAGAAGTGGATGGTAATACATATACTGTTGAGAACTAATGATCCAGCACAGAAAGGATTCTTATGTGTAAACTGAATACTCTTTTGGGATATTAGCACCTTGAGAGCCTTCCCTGTACATATGAGAACAACATTCAAGCAAACTACCAAAGTTTTAAGTTACTTTTAAAGTATTTTTGACTTAAATGAAAATAGAATGGTTTGTTAATGGTTGCAATAAAAACCTCTGAAATTGGACTGGTGCTAATTCTAGACCTATGTGCCAGAATCATCAAGACTTAAAACTTCATTTTTAAAAGCATGTACAAACATTGAAAGTGAATTAAGGGTAAAAAGGATTTCATAGGAAATAGTCCCTCCCTTCTTTTACTTTTTTTTTTGTTGGGGGAGATAGGGTTTCACTCTGTTGACCATGCTGGAGTGCAGTGGAGTGATCATGGCCTACTGTGGCCTCAACCTCTTGGGCTCAAGTGATCCTCCCACTTCAGCCTCCCAAAGTGCCAGGATTACAGGTGTGAGCCAACACACCTGGCCCCTTTTACCTTTTTTAAAAAGCTACTTTAAGTGGTTTATTACATGCAGCTATTTTAATGAATGTATTAAGTGTAATTTCAAGTTGAGGTCAGCTTGTCTCAGCTGAAGCAGGTTGTTACTAAGAGCTTTGCCTTTGGCTTTATAAAGTCCTCTTCATACTGCACAGTTATTCAGGTTATAGTGGTTTTCAGTAGATGCGAATGCTACTCTGTGCTGCTCTTCAGGTGAAACAAGGAACTTTTTATAGACAGTATGTTCATAGTTACAGGAACATGAAGTGTGAATATAGGGTGGCCTGTGGCCAAGTTTAATGTGGTGATGTACACAGTATTTTCCAGACCCTCATTTTTTAGACAGCTGAAAATTAAAGAAGATGCAATTTTAATTTCAGATAATATTAATAGTTCTTTTCAGTAACTGTTGCTGTGTCATTGCCATCTATTTGATTTGTGTTCCCTCTTAATAAATACCATAGCATTGACCAAGTAACCGGAATACAGAAAATATTGGTGGTATATTACTTTATAAAAAATTAATTGTAGTTCACTTTAGGGAATTCTAGAAATTCTTATGAAATATGTTTTTATGTATGTAGAGTTTAAACAAGTAAATTACACCAAAGATACTATACTTTTTTTTTTTTTGACAGTCTTGCTCTGTTGCCCAGGCTGAAGTGCAGCGGCACAATCTTGGCTTTCTGCAGCCTCCACCTCCCAGATTCAAGCAATTCTGTCTCTGCCTCCTGAGTAGCTGGGACTACAGTCATTTGCCACCACGCCTGGCTACTTTTTGTATTTTTGGTAGAGACAGGGTTTTGCCATTTTGGCCAGGCTGGTCTTGAACTCCTGCTCTCAGGTGATCTGCCTGCCTCGGCCTCCTAACGTTCGGGATTACTACTCTTAGCTCTTATCCCAGTGACATTTGTTTCATATTTTTCTCCTATTACGAAAACAGTTGTTTATTACATTTCTTTGCTCCTAAAGAAAATAAAAATAAACACTTGAGACCACATACGCCACATACATATACCATCATTTTATCTCTGATTAAAAATACTGGCAGTTTTCCCTGTGTTAGCACTTGTTAAGGTATTTTAAGGTGCAAATTTTGAAGGTCCTTTTGCTGAATGCGTTTGGTATAAATATTACCAGGAATTGCTAGTTTAAATGAGTCATCTGATAAAAGATAGAAGAACCAAAGGGTGAATAGGCTTCTCTTTTTAAGTCTGCCTTTTGATTTTTTAATTCTGCTTACAAAAGTTGTGATCCTTTTCATAGGAAAATAACATGAGAATATAAAATTCTAATTCAATTGCTCATTTAAAGTGTTTCATATAATGTTTATTGTAGTCCTTGCTTTAATATTTGTACTAAAAATGCTGATTTTAGCCTGTTAAAATAGAGGTGGGAGCATTATTTGAATAAAGAAAACAAAAGGTAGATAAAATGCTATGTGATTGTGTGTGTTAGGGGTAAAGATAGACTCTGGGGGCTAGCGTTAATTAGAGTAAGAGATACCATTAGGATACTATTAACTTTTCATTGTATTTTTATTATTATTTTTTTGAGACAGTCTGGCTCTGTCGCCCAGGCTGGAGTGCAGTGACGTGATCTCGGCTCACTGCAAGCTCCGCCTCCTGGGTTCACGCCATTCTCCTGTCTCAGCCTCCTGCGTAGCTGGGATTACAGGCACCTGCCACCACGCCCGGCTAATTTTTTGTACTTTTAGTAGAGATGGGGTTTCACCATGTTAGCCAGGATGGTCTCGATCTCCTGACCTCGTGATCCGCCAGCCTCAGCCTCCCAAAGTGCTGGGATTACTGGCGTGAGCCACTGCACCTGGCCAACTTTTCATTTTAATAAGTTAACTTAGTCTTTTCGGTAAATAAGTGAACTTAGTCTTCACAGTGCTCCCCGATGCAGTGTCCTTTCTACCCGTGCTCCAGTTAGGCCGTTCCCTGTGCCTCTGCAGACCTACGCCTTCACTCTTGCAAACGCTTCTACCCTTCAAAGCCCTTCAAGGCATATAAAGCCTTTCCTCTTCACAGTCAGGTGTGCTTCTCCTGAGCTTTTAGAACATTTACTTATTTACAACTTTAGTAACTTTCTTAAAGTATCTCACATACTTAGAAATGGTCGAGGATGTGTGTTTAGTATTTTAAAAATCCAGCCGGGCATGGTGGCTTATGCCTGTAATCCTAGCACTTTGGGAAGCTGAGGTGGGAGGATGGCTTCAGGCCAGGAGTCTGAGACCAACCTGGGCAATCTAGTGAGACTCTACAAAAAAATTTAAAAACATTAGCCAGGAGTGGTGGCAGTTGTCTGTAGTCCCAGCTACTTGGGAAGCTGAGGCTGGAAGATCACTTGAGCCCAGGAGTTCAAGGCTAGAGTGACCTGTGATCGTCCTACTACACTCCAGTCTAGGAGACAGAGCAAGACCCTGTCTCTAAAAATAAAACAAAAACCTCCCACAGCCTTGAAGACTATACTGTCTCATAGCAGGTGCTTAGTAATTATTTGTTGAATGAATGATTGCCAGAATGTTAGTGTTAGTTGTATTATGTTTATACAGTGAAATAAGTTTCTCCACCGTAAAACAGGTTAATGCACATGTAAATGCAGTAATTCTTTTAGAATCAGATTTCTCTGTAGTGGCATTATTGACGTTTTGGGGGATTGCCTGGTACATAGTAGGATGTTTAGTAGCAACCGTGGTCTCTACTCACTAGATGTCACTACCACCTCTTCCCTCACTCCAGTATGACAACCCACAGTGTCTCCAGACATAGCTAAATGTCCCCTGGGTGGCAGAATCATCCCTGGCTCAGATTGCTTTGGATGAAAAAAAGCATATGTATTTCAAGTCTCTTCTTGATTGTAGCTTATGTATAGTATGTTTGTTGTTTTTTTCAAGGGTGAATTTTGAGTGTAGAAACAAAATTGTTTCATAGTTCTTCAAATTTAACCTTGTGTAATTTAAGGAAACTGCATTTTTTACTGTTTTGTGTATTTTACATCGAGTAATGGATTTTATTTGGTGTTTCCTCCAGATTGAAATTAAACTGAAAAAGCCAGAGGCTGTGAGATGGGAAAAGCTAGAGGGGCAAGGAGATGTGCCTACGCCAAAACAATTCGTAGCAGGTTTGTTTTCTGATAGCTTTATATTCATATTGTGTTGTGTAACTGAAATTAAATAGTAATGAACATTCTTTTTGCTTTCATTATTTATGTTCTGAAGATAAGATACATTCAGTATAATAAGGTTGCTCCATAATGAATATAAAGTAGCCTTTCTGTTGAAAGTTCTAACGTCTCAAATTCTAAGAGTAAAATGAATGGCAGCAAAATCCCAGAGGGAGTTCGGATTTATTGTTTACCACGTAAAGTTTATGACATCAGTTGAAGGATGTTTATTTTTGTGTGTTGGCCCCTCCTGTTGTTTCTTTTTGGGTTGTAAGTTGGTTTACTCAGCTGATGTATTTCCCCCTCTTCCCTCTCCCTCTCTCACTTACTCCTTTCTATTCCTTCTACTGATATTGTCATCTGATTTCCTGGATTTTTCAGGGCTTTACAGGGTACGGTATCTACCCCATTTCTTATTGCTAATTTAGAGATGAACACAAATAGGTAATAAATGCCAAAGGAAAGTCTAGGAAAAGAGTAGAAAACCAGGCTTCATTGTATATATAGTCCTGTAAGAAACAGACAGAACTTTGTGTTTAGGTCAATTTTAAGTATATGCAATAACTAGATAAGAATTTTTGTAATGGACTAATTCACAGCACACTCAGAACTACAACCTAAGATTATGTTTTATAGCAATAGCCTCATTAATGAGTGGAGGGAAATTTCTTTTTATTAGAAGTAATAGTCTGATTTAATGACTGAAACAAGCTAACATGTGTCTCAGCTACTTTTTCTGATTTTGACTGCTTTCTTCTGTAACAGAAAACACATATTCCTTGTGGCACCTTTTAGAAAACACCAAGTTATTCAACAGATCATTCGTGTGTGTGTGTGTGTGTGTGTGTGTATATGTAGTTATTTCTTTAGAAATAATTTTGGATGTTTAGAAGTTTCAAAAATAAGAGATTCTCATGTAGCTTTCACCCAGTTTCCCCCGGTGATAGGGTCTTAACTAGTCCAATGATTACCTCTTAAGTAGTCTATGGTATAATTTTCAAAATCAGGGTATTAACACCAACAGATACTTTCTAAGGACTGAAGTATATCTAGTTGGTATTTAAGGTATTTAGTTAAGCATCTGCTTCCCACTTTATTGGAAAGATATATGTGCTTCTTTTAGGACTGACTCCAAGAGATTTTGAGGCTGAGGTTTATATGTAGCTGAAAGGTTTAAAAAAATATAATCATTTTAAATGTAGCATCTTACTTGATTCTAACAGCCCTGCATAACAGGCAGCCCCTTAGTACTCCTCCCATTTTGCAGGCTCAGGAAAGTTAAGCTCAAGATTATCCAGCAGTTCTCATTGTCTAGGACTAAAATCTAGGTCTTCTCAGTTGGTTCCGGTTACTCTGTTAACCCCTTGTCTACTCGTTGCATACGGCTTGTTGTTGCATTTTCTAACAATGGAAACAGTCTTTGCCGACATGAGTATCTATGTAGTTATTTGATTTTTTTTTTTTTTTTTTTTTTTTTTTTTTTGAGACGGAGACTCGCTCTGTCACCCGGGCTGGAGCGCAGTGGCCGGATCTCAGCTCACTGCAAACTCCGCCTCCCGGGTTTACGCTGCCTCAGCCTCTGGAGTAGCTGGGACTACAGGCGCCCGCTTAGTTTTTTGTATTTTTTTAGTAGAGACGGGGTTTCACCGTGTTAGCCAGGATGGTCTCCATCTCCTGACCTCGTGATCCGCCCGTCTCAGCCTCCCAAAGTGCTGGGATTACAGGCTTGAGCCACTGCGCCTGGCCAGTTATTTGATATCATAGTGAATGAGCAGGGAGGTTACTCATCTCTCAGTAGTAGTTCTACCATCTCCAGGTGTTAAAAGTTTTTCTGAGATTAAAGATCAAGGTTTTTTAGTGTTATAGTTACCATGTTTTTTCTAAACTCAACACCTTAGATATTCAAGATGATATTCTTCCTGTCCTGTTTTTGTAAGAAATTAATATGCTTGTCAGATTCCTGTGTATTGCAAGCTGGAGACTGTAGATAAGGGCAAGTCACTTAACCTATCTGAGAGCCAGCTTGCTTATCTGTAAAATGGAGATTAAAACCTCTGTGCTCATGCTTCCTGGGAGTCAGCATTAGGATTAATTAAATCCATGTTTCCCGGGCTCTTAACTTACCATGGCATGCATTTTTTTGTTTTATCTGGCTTCTAGTGAAAATGTACAAAGATAGAAGGATGTCTAGTAGAAGGAAGGTGGATAGGATTTTCAAAACAATATATTTGGCCCTGAAAAAAAACTATGTGTTGGTGGTGTGTGTGTCGTTTTGTCTTGTTTTGAGGAGGAATGGGCAGGGAGAAAGTCGGTTTACAAGTGAAGAGAAAGCGTAGAAAAACAGTGGATGTTAAATAGTTTCTCAGCTATTTTGACAAAAGGGATATAGAGAGCAGTATTGGGAGGAACATTTAGATTAGTATTAATGTATCCTAATACATGCTGATGGGGAAATTTTGAATTGGGTTTTTTGAAGACTACAGCTGTTTTGTCCAACACAGTAGCTGCTAGCCACATGTTACCTGTTCAGCACCTGAAATATGACTAGTCTGCATTGAGATCTGCTATGTGAAATATATGCCACAGTTTGAAGACTTAGTATGAAAAAAAGAAAAGAATGTAAAATATATTCTTTTTGTTGTTTTTGGTTTCTTTTTTTTTTAAAAAAAGAGAGTCTTGCTCTGTCAGCCAGGCTGGAATGCAGTGGCACTGTCATGGCTCAGTGTAGCCTCGACCTCTTGGACTCAAGCAGTCCTCCCACCCCAGCCTTCCAAGTAGCTGGTACTGCAGGCATGTGCCACCATGCTCAGCTAATTTTTTTTTTTTTTTTCCATAGAGATGGGTTCTCGTTATGTTGCCCAGGCTGGTCTCACACTTCTGGCCTCAAGCAATCGTCCTACCTTGGCCTCCCAAAGTGCTGGGATTACAGGCGTGAGCCCCCATGCCCAGCCTCTGTTGGTTTCATGTCAAAATGATACTATATGTGATATATATCAGGTTAAATAAAATATATTATTAAACTGCATTTCACCTGATTCTTTTTAGTAATGTAGTTACTAGAAATTTTAAAATTATATATGTGACTCGCATTTGAGGCTGTCATATTTTTATTGGACAGTGAACAGAGCTGCTCCTATAGCTACTAGGTTGGCTAGTTATTTTCTAATTATTTGTGTGCCAAGATCTTGATGCCTTTGGTCCTTGGAGCAATCTTGGCAGTACCCGGAGCCCCTGGGCCAGTGGCCTTTCTGGCTGCAAGCAGCCTCTGTTTACAAACCCCAGTGTGCCCTACAAATACTGTTATTTGCTAGGTGTATGGCATGTGGACATTGAACTTCAGATCATCAAGTGTAGTACTTTAAACATTTAGGCATTACTTATTGTTACTGCCTATTGAAATAATCTTATATTTTTGATGTGGGGAGAGTATGCAGTGGCATGGATGATTATTTATATTTTCAGGCTATTTATACTCTGAAAGATACTAAATACTTTAGAAAAAGCCACATTTTTAACATTTATTAAAATCTTAGTTATGAAAGATTTCATAGGTATCCTTTAAAAAAACTTTTATTTTTAAAATTGTACTGTCTTTGCAACTTTTCTGAAAACATAAAAGTTCTGTATATTTTTCGTCTAGTTTCTCCTGTTATCAGCATGAAGAATCTGCTTTTAATCTAATCTAATTTTATATAATGTGTCAGAAGTTTACACTTTATTGAGTTATTGTACTCAAAAGAAATCCCCAGATTTTACATTATGGTAACTGACTCAGTTTTTAGAAATGTAAATTTTGTTACTGATGTGTATACCAGAAAGACACTTACTGCATACGTGAAATTCAGTAACCTAAACTGTTTGCTAAGATGTTCCATATACATAGTCACAAAGTTTACATATTCTTGACATAATTGAAATATGTTGATTAATTACTTCTGCCTTTTTTACTTCACAGATGTAAAGAACCTATATCCATCATCATCTCCTTATACAAGAAATTGGGATAAATTGGTTGGTGAGATCAAAGAAGAAGAAAAGAATGAAAAGTTGGAGGGAGATGCAGCTTTAAACAGATTATTTCAGCAGATCTATTCAGATGGTTCTGATGAAGTGAAACGTGCCATGAACAAATCCTTTGTAAGAATATAAACTTTTTAAGATATATATATGGGAGCAAATTTTACATATTTTAAAAGAGAAAATTGGTAATGTGAGACCAAATTGCGTGTACTATAGCTGGGAGAACTTTTTGAATAAGGTCTGTCTGAACGTTTCTTTTTGCTCTAAGAGTAATTTTTGAGGAAGTTGAAAACTTATGGAAGAGATGAGAAACAAGTAGTTTATCCTAAGTAGGTATTTTTTATCAATGAGTTAGATTGATATGGAGTCATCTTACTTGGATTTATCACAGTAGCTGAGTGAACTTCTGTTGTGTCCCTTCTAGATTCGTATGTAGTGTCAATGTTAGAGATGAAGAATATAGATGTGAAACTTTCCAGAATAGTGTTTGCAAGTAGAAGGTGCACATTATTCATTGGTTTAACAACTCTCTTAAGAGAATTCAGGCTTTTTTTTTTGTTTTTTTGTTTTTTTGTTTTTTGTTTTTTTGTTTTTTGAGACGGAGTCTCACTCTGTAGCCCAGGCTGGAGTGCAGTGGCCGGATCTCAGCTCACTGCAAGCTCCGCCTCCTGGGTTCACGCCATTCTCCGGCCTCAGCCTCCCAAGTAGCTGGGACTACAGGCGCCCGCCACCTCGCCCGGCTAGTTTTTTGTATTTCTTAGTAGAGACGGGGTTTCACCGTGTTAGCCAGGATGGTCTCGATCTCCTGACCTCGTGATCCACCCGTCTCGGCCTCCCAAAGTGCTGGGATTACAGGCTTGAGCCACCGTGCCCGGCCGAGAATTCAGGCTTTTTGTCAGGGCAGCATAAATACCTAAATTAGACCTCAAGATTTTAGTAACAATTCGTCACTGTAGAACTTTATAGATTATTTAGCTTGCAGTTGTAATCATGTGACTTTTATTAATACCAGTAGCTCTGGAAATATGACTCTTTTAAGACATTCGTGTTTACAGTAGAAAGTTAAAATTAGTATTTAATAATTTAATATTTAGTTAATGTGGTTGAGGCTCAGGTATTTCACACTTAAGAAATACGTGGTAATTGGTCATGATTGTGCTTTTCACAGTTTGTTTATTTAGAGACAGGGTCTTGCCCTGTTGCCCAGGTTTGAGTGCAGTGCGTGATCTCGGCTCACCGCAGCCTCTGTCTGCCAGGCTCAAGTGATTCTCCTACCTCAGCCTCTGCAGTAGCTGGGACCATAGACATACACCACCACGCCTGGCTACTTTATTTCTTGTAGAGATGGGGTTGCGCCATGTTGCCCAGGCTGGTCTCGAACTCCTGGCTTCAATCTAGCCACCTCAGCCTCCCAAAGTGCTGGGATTACAGGCGTGAGGCACCTCAACCAGCCTCACTATTAATTAAAATTTTTTTTTCCATCACTTTTGGGAGGCTGAGGTGGGAGGATCACTTGAGCTAAAGATCTTGAGACCAGCCTGGGCAACATAGAGAGACCCTTATCTCTACCAAAAAAAAAAAAAAAAAAAAAAATTAGCTAGGCCTGGTGGCATGTGCCTGTGGTCTCAGCTACTTGGGAAGATGAGGTGGGAGGATCTCTTGAGCCTGGGAAGTCAAGGTTGCAGTGGGTTATTTTTTGTGCCACTGAACTACAGCCTGGGCAACAGAGACCATCTCAAAAAAAAAAAAAAAAAAAAGTTTTCATTAAACTTTTAGTTTTGAGATAATTGTAGATTCACATGCAATCCTAAGAAATGAGATTCTTTCTACCTTTTACAAAGTTTCCACCGATGGAAACATTTTGCCAAAACTGTAGTACAATGTCACAACCATGATATTGACAGTTAAGATAGGGAACGTGGCTGCATGCAGTGGCTGACACCTTTAATCCCAGTGCTTTGGGAGTCTGAGACCACAGGATCCCTTGAGGCTAGACCAGCCTGGGCAATGTAGTAAGATCTGGTCTCTACAAGAAATTTAAAAACTAGCTTGTTGTCATGGTGTTGTGCCCCTGTCAGCTACTCAGGCATCTGAGGCAGGAGTATTGTTTGAGCCCAGGAGTACAAGCTTGCAGTGAGCTATGATCATGCCACTACACTCAGCCCAGGCAGCAAAGTGAGACCCTATCTCTTAAAAAAAAAAAAAAAAAAAGAGAGAGAGAGAGATACAGAAAGCATTTTCATGGATTCCAAGGATCGCTTATGTTGCTATTTTATGGCTATACTCACCCCACCTCTACCCTTCCATGATCCCTGATGATCACACATCTGGCAATCTTTGTCAGATATGTAGTTTGCAAATATTTTCTCCCAGTTTGTAGTTTTCATTTTCTTAGCAGGGTCTTTCATAGAGACAAAAGATTTCATTTTGATTAAGTCTAATTTACTGCTTTTTATGGATCATGCATTTAGTTTCAAGTCTGTTAACTCTTTGCTTAGTCCTAGATCTCAAAGACTTTCTCCTATTTAAAAAATAAATAAAAGTAATATTGTTTTACATATTACATTTATTTTTTATTTAGAGATAGGATCTCATTCTGTCACCCAGGCTGGAGTATAGTGGCACAGTCACAGTTCACTGTAACCTCAAAGTCCTGGGCTCAAGTGATCCTCATGCCTCAGGCTCCCAAGTAGATGGGATTACACATCCATGCTGCCATGCTTGGCTAATTTTTAAAATTTTTTGTAGAGATCGGGGGGGGGGGTGGTCTCTGTGTTGCTTAGGGTAGTCTCGAACTTTTGGCCTCAAGCAGTTCTTTGGCCTTGGTCTCCTGAAGTGCTATTGTTACAGGTGTGAGCAACAGCACCTGGCCTACATATTACATTTAAGTCTGTGATGCATTTTGAACTTTTATGTCAAGTGTGAGATTTAACTTGAGATTCCTTTTTGTGGGGTGGATAGTATGTTCAAGTGTTCTGGCACCTATCTCTTCTCATTGAATCACTTTTGCACCTTTCTCAAAAATCAGTTGAGCATATTTGTGTGTCTATTTCTAAGTTCCCCGTTCTGTTAGATTGAGCTGTATGTGATCTATATGTATGTTCCTCTGTCAGTCCCACCGTCTTGAACTGTAGCTGTATAAGTCTGAAATTGGGCAGACTCATTCCTCCTACTTTATCCTTTATTTTCACAATTGTTTTTAGATACTCTAACTCATTTGTCTTTCTGTGTAAATTTTAAAATAAAGTGATGTATATGTAATTTTGGTGTTCATTACTAGAATCTAGACATACAGTTAATTTTATGTTTATCTTGTATTCTATGACGTTGCTGGACTCAGTTGTAGGAATATTTTTGGATTGTTACTTTTTTAATGTGGACAATCATCTTCAAATATGGAAGTTTTATTTATCTGCAAATAGAGTTTTATTACTTCCTTTTCTATCTGTGTGCCTTTTATCTCCTTTTCTTGCTGTGTTTCACTGGCTGCAACTTGAGCACTGTGTTGAGTAAGAGTAGTGAGAGTGGACATCCCCCTTGCTTCCCATTTAAAGGGAAAAATATTTATTGTTTCATCATTAAGTAGAATGTTAACTGTAAGTTTTTGGTAGATGATCTTTGTCAAGTTATGAAAGTTCTGTTGTATTCCTATTTTTCTGAAATTTTTTTATCATTAACTTTTAACATTGACTTTTTGTCAGATGTTTTCTGTGTTGATAGGATTATATGATTTTTCTTCCTTAGCCTGTTAATGTGATTTTATATGATTAATATGATTGATTTTCAAGTATTGAGACAGTCTTGCATGAGCCCTACTTTGTCATATAGTGTATCTCTCAATTCTATCTTCTAATGTTTTGTTATGGGTTATTGTGTCTATATTCATGAGGAATATGAGTCTGTACTTTTTGTGCTATCTTTGGTTTGGTGTCAGAGTAATACTTTGTAAAATGAATTAGGAAGCATTTCATCCTCTTCGATTTTTTAGAAGATATTGTGTATAATTGGTGTTAATTAACTTTTTTTAAGTATTTGGCAGAACTCACCAGTGAAACTGGAGATTTCTTTACTAAGAGATTTAAAGTTATGAATTTAGTTAACCTAAAGTTTTTATCGGACTGTTCAAATTGTCTGTTTCATATGGGTGACTTGGGGTTTGTGTTTCTGATAAACTGATCCATTGTGTCCAAGTTGTCAGTGTTTATTTAGTCCCTTATTCTTTTTGTTTGTTTTTTGTCTTTTTTGAGATGGCATTTTTCTGTCACCCAGGCTAGAGTGTAGTGGTATGATCATAGCTCACTGCAGCCTCAGCTTCCCAGGCTCAAGTGATCCTCTCATCTCAGCCTCTCTAGTAGCTGGGACTACAGGCATGTGCCACCATGTCCAACTAATGTATTTTTATTTTATTTTATTTTGTAGATATGGGGTTTTGCCATGTTGCCCAGTCTGGTCTGTAACTCCTGAGCTCAAGCGATCCACCCATCTTGGCCTCCCAAAGTGCTGGGATTACAGTAGTGAGCCACCGCACCCGGCCTTGCTTACTCTTTTGATGTCTGCAGGGTTTATAGTGATACTTTTTTACCGTTCTTATAATGGTAATTTGTGTCTTTTCTCTCTTTTCTTAGTCTCCTAGAGGTTTAAAGGATACCTTATCTAGCATATGCTTACCCATCGGCTAGATTTGCTTATTTTACTGAATTTTTTCTCCCAAAGAATTAGCTCTTTGTTTCATTTTTTTCTCTATTTTTTGTTCTACATTTTATTCATTTCTATTATTATTATTATTCTGCTTGCTTTAGGTGCATTTTGTTCTTATTTTTTTAGGTTCTTAAGATGTACATTTATCTACTATCTATTTCTATGTATTCACTCATTTTTGAGACAGGGTCTCCCTCTGTCGCCAGGGTGGAGTGTAGTGGTGCGATCATGGCTCAGTGCAGCCTTGACCTCCTGGGCTCGAGTAATCTTCCTGAGTAGCTAGGATCACAGATATGCACCACCATGCCCAGTTAATTTTTTTAAATTTTTTTAGAGACGAGGTCTCCCCATATTGCCCAGGCTGGTCTTGAACTCCTGAGCTCAAGCAGTCCCCTCCCATGTTGACCTCCCGAAGTGCTGAGATTACAGGCATGAGCCACCATGCCTGGCCTGTTGTCTGAAAGTTTTCTGTTTTCCTAGGCAGCGTCCTTTCCTGATCTCTTGGCAAGAGAGAGCAGGGGTTTGTTGGGACTTTTTTTTTCTTGTTTGTCCTCCCTGGTGTTTCCAGCTTCTTCAGCTCCAAGTCTAGGATATATGAGGCAAAAGGAAAACCCAGAATTTGCCACCACGTCATTTCTTGAGTCCCAGGGTCCTTGGTAGGTCTGTCTTCACTTTACCTTTTGGTGTCTTTACTTTTTTTTCTAGACAGGATCTTGCTCTGTTGTTCCAGCTGTAATACAGAGGTGCGATCATGAATCACTGCAGCCTTGAACTCCTGAGCTCAAGTGATCCTCCCACCTGAGCCTCCTCAGTAGCTGGCACTATAGGTGTGTGCCACCACACCTGGCTATTTTTCTTCTTTTTTTTTTGTATAGAGATAAGGTCTCGCTGTGTTGAACAGGCTGTTCTTGAGCTCTTGGACTTAAGCAATCCTCCTGCCTTGCCCTCACAAAATACTGGGATTATAGGTGTGAGCTACTGCACCTGGCCCCTTGTAGAGTCATTTTATCTTTGTTTCATATGTAGCGTCTAGGCTGTTTAGTCGATTTACTACTGGGAAGAATAGGAAAAGTACATCTACTCGATCTTCCCAGGAGAAGTCGTTCTCACTTTTGACTTTTGAAAGTATGGTAGACAAAAGTAGCAGTACATCAGATCAAAGATGTCAAGTCACATCAAATCAAAGATAGAATCTGCAATCATTTTCATATAGAAACTTTGACAATTATAACCAAATTATGTATACCCATAAAATAAGCCATCTGTGCAGCAACATTGATCTGGACTATACCAGGGGCTTCTGTCCTTGTGAGAATACGAAAGAAACTAGACCTCTTTCTCTGTAATCTCCTTATCTAGTTGGGACAAAAGACCAACATATACAAAATAATCACAGGGAAATGCTAAATTGCCCTGCAGTCTATTAGAGATGCGGTGGCAGGGGGCGGAGCACGATAAGTGTCATCAGCAAATATGGTCAGATTGTAAACTAATCTACTTTTTTTCAGTTTTATAACTGAAGGTCCTCTTGGGGTAGTTTGTGTTTGTTTGTTTGTTTATTTGAGAGAGAGTTTCGCTGTGTCACTCAGGCTGGAGTGCAGTGACGCGATCTCAGCTCACTGCAACCTCCGCCTCCCAGATGCAAGTGATTCTCATGACTCAGCCTCTGGAGTAGCTGGGACTACAGGCGCGTGCCACTACGCCCAGCTAATTTTTGTAGTTTTAGTGGAGACGGGGTTTCACCATGTTGGCCAGGCTGGTCTTGAACTTGTGACCTTAGGTGATCTGCCCGCCTCAGCCTCCCAAAGTGCTGGAATTACAGACGTGAGCCACTACGCTCAACCTTGGGGTAGTTTATTATACAGATTTGTCAAATGTAATTCAGTCATTTTATTTAAAGCCTACTATGTGCTAGGCCACTGTGTTTAGAACTGGGATATGAATATTAGTAAAATGTACTCCTTGCCCTTAATGAGCTCTCAGCATTAGTTGAAGTCGAGGGTGGAAAGCAGATATAAGAAGACAGAACCTTAAATTGCAACAATGCAGTGGGACACATGTTATGTAAGTGTAATTAGGCTTACGTAGACAAATTTACAGGAATAGAGAAATAAGAGGTCAGAGTAAAGCCACGGAGAGGTGATGACATTTCATGTTTGGAAGATGACTAAGGACACAAAAACTCACAGCTGTGCAAAAAAGCCCATGTAAGGGAGCTCAGTAGAGCGTGTCGGACATGGGGTTACATTGAGGTTCCAGTGTGTAGGATGTGTAGCTGTATACATTGGCCACTAACCCAGTTGGTTATTTTTAAGTGTTTATATTTTAATAATTTGCACTATTCTTTGCTGTGGTTCAAATCCATTGATTTTTATCATATTAAAATAAGAAATGTCCAGATGTTTTTTAAATATATTAATTAATATTCTTGGGTTGTTAGTGGGTGGTATATTCAGTAGATGGTAAATAAATGACCAATTTTTCACTGAGACACTGACTTTCTATACCTGCATATATGTACCTTGATTTTTAAAGAATTTTGGATAAACTTGCTTGTGTTTGGCACAAAGAGAGCACAAAGTAGAGGCCTTAAAGTTCTCTTCAGCTGATATAGAAAGAGATTATTTTGACTGGTCTTTATGGTCTTCAGCAAAAGAAATTACAATAATCACTGTTTTGGGGGAGCTAATAATTGAAGGTAGTTTAATTTGAACCTTCATTTGAAGGTCGTTTTTCCCCGTATATGTCTATGCTCATTAGCAAAGGATGTAGTGCACCTCCCTGACTACTTTAGGATTTCCTTTTCAGATTTTATTTAACTTGTTAACCTCTGGAATGCCTAAAATTAAATAAAAATACTGTTTTGAGTTTATATTGGGCTATGTATTTTGTCTGTGTGTAATCTGTTATATATATGTATTGTATAGAGTTTATATTGAGCTGTATATAATAGCCAATATTTGGGGCTCTATGCTTGGAACATTTTTAGAAAAATATTCTATTTTGATTATATGGTCCAGGAATTAATCTCATTTTAATTTTTCATTGCAGATGGAGTCGGGTGGTACAGTTTTGAGTACCAACTGGTCTGATGTAGGTAAAAGGAAAGTTGAAATCAACCCTCCTGATGATATGGAATGGAAAAAGTACTAAATAAATTAATTTGCTCTCACTGTATTATGTATATTCACCTAATGCCCGTTGTGTATTGATATTGCATTCTTGAATTTTGAACACTGAATATCTTTTTGAAAGATTATACCTCTTTACCTCTTTGTGCTTTAGAAATTATTTTCCTTCAAGTGTTCAAGTCTAATGAAGAATGAAGATAACATTTTATCACTTCTGTCCTTAAAGATTTCAGACATGGTGAAACTGAATAAAGCGTATCACTTGCTCCTAGATAGATTCATTCTATCTAGTTGTGGGGATGGAGAAATCTTTAATGGTATATTTTGGGTTATTGCCTTATTTTTGATGCAGTATTCTGTCAGTAATTTATTAGATCTGGCAGCTTTGGGTGAGCATAGATTTTTCGCCTTCAGTGTTACATTGTGTTTGCTTTTAAAAACTGCTTTTGAATGGAGTTGTAAATACAATTTTTCTATGAAGACGTTTGGTTTATTTACCTTTTTCTTAAGTTTTTAATGAGAACTTTGAGAAATTATCACAGGGAGTTCCCATTTAGTTCTTTTAATGGGAAGAATTTGTAATTTTAATTGCACTGAGATATTTTGGTCCTTACCTTGCAAATTTCTGTATAAAATATAGATACCTGAGTTTTAACACACTGCAAGTTTATACTAAGGGTAATCTGCAAAGGTAGGGCAAAGAAGGTTCTAGGAAAGCCCAACTCCACTTGCTTCTTTTATCACAGCAGGATTCCTGAAATTACAGCATTGGTGGGTTTTTTTGGTGTGTTTTTTTCTTCTTTATTAGAAAATCTCTGTTGTCACGTCCCCATGATTACTTTGGTTTCATTGGTTTATGGTAACTGCTGTGAGTAAATTAATGTGTATATGTTTATTATTTACTCTGTGCCTAGAATATATAGATATCATGAAAATACAAAAAGTAAGAGACATGATTATTAACTTCAAAGAGCTTATAAATGTAGCAGGGAAAAAATAACATTCATGAAGGAACTGTGTAAAGACTGAATGCTGAACTCAGCATAAATACACTTTAGGGACAGGAAAGTGTTCTGTGATTAAAATTGTTTACAGTCTAAGCTGTTATAAAGTATAGGCTATGGATGACCTGTAGATCTGACTTTGTTTTCTCACCATAATTTTCTCAACTGTAATACCCCAGAGGTTGGTCTCAGCTCTGTTAGGTGTCAGTAACATTTTTATGGCAAAGCACTACCCTGTACCATCAGAGCAGGGTGAGTGGGAGGCAAACAGGTCATCATTTCAGCCTCCAAAACAGTAGGAATTCAGCTCCTTCCTTCTAGTCCTTTGTTGTGGGGTGTAGGGGAGTTACTAAGGAAAGTTTCAGTAGGGTGATACCAGATAGTGCCCAAACCTGTTATAGCTTGGTTAAGCATTCTAGAGTTTTCATGTGTCCTTTTGTCCACTTAGAGCTACTAGATACATTTTTTGTTCTTGAACACTGAAGGAAAAGGCAAAATTAAGTTTTTGGTTGGATGGATTTCTAAAGTTTTCTCCTTAGGGAAATAGGATAGTGACTTTTGTATTCTGTGTGTTAAATTTTCTCAGTACCAATAATCCTAAGATGAGGAGGAAGGCTATTGCTGCAGAGGCATAGTTGAGGACGTACAGCACTACACCAGAAACAGGAATGCTTAGCTCTAGCAGATCTTCTGTCATTGCTGCCTTCATAATCTTCAACAGGTTTAGGCCTTTCTTAGTTCCTTTGTAAATAATCCATAGAGTCTTAAGTGTTATAATTAAAGGTCCATGATTCTAAATACAGAAGCATATTTTTGCCGCTTAACTTTTTCTTTATTAAAAATGACACTACTAAAATAGCTGTTTTGAGCAGGTGCTTTAGCTCATGCTTATAATCCCAGCATTTTGGGAGGCAGAGACGGGCAGATCACCTGAAGTAAGGAATTCAAGACCAGCCTGGCCAACATGGTGAAGCCCTGTCTCTACTAAAAATGCAAAAATTAACCAGATGTAGTGGCATGCACCTGTAGAATTGCTTGAACCGGGAGGCAGAGGGTGCGGTGAGCCAAGATCATGCTGCTGCACTCCAGCCTGGGTGACTCCATCTCAAAAAAAATAAAATAGCTGCTTTTTTAAAAAAATATAGTACTATCTTTGGTTGTTTTTAAAGGACATATTATCTAGAATATGCTTACCTATTGGCTAGATTTGCTAAGTGTTGTGGGATTTGGGATTTTGCTGGTCTAAAGGGAGTTTGTAAAACACATGACTGAAAGCATTATAAAACGCACCTTGTCAAATACATTAGATTTATAGGTCAAGGGAATTTTGAAAAGTAAGCTAGATTTTGCTGCTCAAGAATCCCACTCTAAAGTACTGCTTTGTTTAATCATTCTAGATAATGGAAGCTTGTAAGCCTCCAGAAAGTTAAAACAAAAAACTTCATTCTGATTGAGAGCCTCTTAACTCTATCCTTATTCTCTGCTATCTCATTATAGCTATTAATTGTTCCCTCTTTGTTTCTAGACTCCAATTTTCATTTCTCAAATTTTGGTTCTCTTAGTGCTCTTAGTAGCCTTTTGTTTGTTCAGAATGTATATATTTTTCCTCTTAAGTGTTTCCTTTCCCTTTTAAGGTTAGCCCTGGAATACATATCTTTCTTGGTCTTATAGACTTCGTCTCTTCTGATTTCCATAATAATTGGCACCTTGATGACTCCAGAATTCTCCCACTGTCTTCAAAGAGAATTATCTGCTGCTTTGAACTCTGCTATCTAGTAATCTCGTTAGGTATCTATACCACAAGTTTGAAACATCAAGGTCAATTTTGATAATTTCCTGTCTTACGTCTTAATACCCATTCAGAGTTGATTGCCAACTAACAAACTCAGTCTTTAGCACTGACACTTACTGGCCAATCTGTTTTCTCTCTATAGGGAATGAAATGGAATGGAGAAAGAGGATAGCTTGCATTAATAACTTAGCTTTTAAGAACATTTTTATTCCTTTTTAAAAAAAGTTTTTAGAGACACGGTCTTGCTGTATCACCCAGGCTGGAGTGCAGTGGCACAATCATGGCTCACTGTAGCCTCCAACTCCTAAGCTTAAGTAATCCTCTTGCCTCAGCTTCCCAAAGTGCTGGGATTACAGGTGTGAGCCACTGTGCCTGGCCCACATTTTCTTTCTTGGCTCACTGTAGCCTTGATCTTTCAGGCTCAAATGATTCTCCCATCTCAGCCTCCTGAGTAGCTGGGACCACAGGCATGCACCACCACGACTGGCTAATTTATGTATTTTTTTTTTTTTTGTAGAACCAGGTTTCACTGTGTGCCCAGGCTCGTCTCGAACTTCTGGGCTCAAGTTATCTTCCTGCCTCAGCCTCCCCAAAGTGCTAGGATTACAGGAGTGAGCCACTACAGTGGCCCGGTCATGAACTTCAAGTAAATGTTTAAAATGGAGATATATCACAATGCTATTATGAGTTATTTAGATAGAAATGTTAATTTAGTTCAGTACTTAAATATTTTTTGGCTATGCTTTCCCATTTTACCTTTCTCTACTCCCTCCTCAGTTACCTACATACTGGATTAGATTATTGATCTCTGAGATATATCTCTGACCCAGAGCAAAACTGCATATTAATTTACCATCTAATCGGCCTAATGCACTTAAATTCCTTTGGAATCTTTCTTGTTCAGATTAGTGTGCATCTCTCTGAACTTGTAGCTTTACTGACATTTCCAAAAAAAGGTAGAAGGTTTCTAGGTGGTGGTTGTTTTTCTTAGTTCCTAGAGCCACTTACCCTTTGTAACTAGCTCTAAAGAAGTACATCTTTTGCTCATACCTGCTACTGTAACCATATGAGAGTATGGATTTAAGTTATTTCTGCCTAGAGGAACTAGAGAGATGATAAAAGCTAGAAGGACAAAATGCTGGTTTCTGTGCAGGGAAGGGTCATACGTAGTTTTAAATAAAAGGGATCATCTCTTTTGATGCGGTTTCCCATTCTCCATCTGTGCATTTTTTAAATCGTAAGATCATTTTACACCAAGAGATTTTATTTTCGGAACTTGTGGGGAAAATATTGATTTACCTACAAATGTTACTATTTGGAGCCATCCTTGTGTTTTGTTTCTGAGATTAATTTAACTCTTAGCCTCACTTCCTACCTTAGTAAAGTTGCCACTCCAAGTCAGCTAAAATCATATACAATTCTAACCCGTTACTGCAAATAGTGGTAGTGACTGTGTACTAGCATTTCTTATGGACTGGGTGGCACTATCTCATTTTTAATAGCCCTTCAATAGCATCCCATTATTGCAAATCAGAAAGATAATGGGGCCAAAGTAAAGCTCTTTGCCTAAGTCACTCTACTAGTAAGTAATTGCAGTAGCTGGGATTTGAACCCAGACCTGTCAGACTCCATTACCCATACAACTGCAGTCTTCTCATCAGATGTGGAATGAATGATTTTTATTACCAAATCAGCTGATTGGAAATGGAAGCAGAGAATATGCAAGTTAAAGAACTAATTTTTTTTTTTTTTTTGAGACGGAGTCTCACTCTGTTCCTCAGCCTGGAATGCAGTGGTGCAATCTCGGCCCACTGAAGCCTCCACTTCCTGGGTTCAAGCGATTCTTCTACCTCAGCCTCCTGAGTAGCTGGGGTTACAGGTGTGTGCTGCCACACTGCCATGCCCAGCTAATTTTTGTATTTTTAATAGAGACGAGGTTTCACCATGTTGGTCAGGCTGGTCTTGAACTCCTGACCTCATGATCCATCCACCTTGGCCTCCTAAAATGCTGGGATTACAGGTGTGAGCCACTGTGCCCAGCCAAGAACTAATTCTTATATATGAGCTGGGAAGATATGTTCCTAGAGATCCTCACTTTAAGTAGGAAAGCTTATTAGGAATCCAAATCTCTTGCCTCATACAGAAAGTAATGCAAAGAAGTAGTCTGATTTTTGAGAGGGTGATGTTTTTCTCAAATCCAGATTACAGAGAAACAGTATACCTTTAACAACTGTTGCATGTGTAAGAAGACTGGCACATGATGTCAGTGAAATTCTTTTTTTCCTTTAACTTGAGAGCTCTCATACCAGTTCCGTTGTACAAATAAATGCTGAGATTGTTTCAAGGTTTTATTCCTACAGACATGTTAGGATTTGTGTATCACTGATTTCTCCAATAAAATTAGAATAATTCAGGTTAGTTCCTTTTTCCTAACTTAGTTAGCATTTTCTGTGTGTGTGTATATATATATATATTTTTTTTTCTTTTTTTTTTTTAAATTTTGGCTTGTCTTGAGTCTTCTGGATACTTGGTATGCCTTCACATATGAATTTTTGGTTTTATTTTTACATTGAGACTTCTGCCTATATCATTGACTTTATTTTTTCCTATGATTAAAGGATTCAGTTATAACAAAAAGATGTTTCAGAAACACTACTATTTACCTAAAGGTAATTTTCAGTTTC